CTGTGTGACCTCAAGCAAACCATTTTAACCTCTCTGTTTCTGTTCTCATCTGGGGCGAGAGAGACTAAAACCCCAAAGCAAACCAACTGGTCATACATATCGCGGACCTAGGAACGCGCGCGCGCGCTCTGAGTGCGCACACGCTGCCATGGGGTGGCTGTGCCACGTCGCGACCCTTTAGGGATTAAATCAGATAAAGTTATTAAAACTTCTGACAAGAGGATTGACACTCAGAGCCTGCCTGGCCTGGGGGCCGCGGCGCACGGTCTGAGGTGAGGGCTCCGCTGCCTGGGCCCCGTTTGGGCCCATCCTGGGGGCGCCGAGTGAGCCCTCAGACCGGGGTCCCGGGGTGGGCAACCCGAGGATGGGAGATGTTTGGCGGCCCCTGGAGCCTCGGGGTCTGCCCGACGTCTCCGGGCTTAAATAACCGTGCGCCTTTGTTATTCGTCGGCAGCAAAGTGGCTCGTTACGCCTGATTGGTCTAATTGCTTTGAAATGGGATATATTATCTATAATTATAGGGCGCGGGGAGGAGCCGGCCGGCCTCCCTTTCATCTTCCTCAAGTGCACCCTCATGTCGCGATCACATTAATTTGGGCCATTTGAAAGGGGCTTCCCCCTCCCCCACGGATCCCGGCCCCCTCACTCCCTCCGAATTTAAAGCCCCAAGGAAGCGGGGCCGGAGGGGGAGAAGGCAGAGCGAGTGGGGGCAGGGCGGGGGACAGCCCGGCGTCGAGGACCAGCTCCTCCCGGCTTTCTGTTGAGGGGGGGGGTGTCCGCTGCCCCCAGAGAAACTGCACTGCAGGGCTTGAACTCATTTAAGCCCAGAAACTAGAAAGCAAAATTCGCTTTTGAAAGATAGTTGTGTTTTTAAAACTTTGCCTTCAAGAAGGACACCAAAACTTTGCCGAGGCCGAGTTCTTCCGCTTCTCCGCGAGGCCCAGAGCGACCCAGCAGGCCCCGTCGGGCGGTCGTTTTGCGGAGGTTTCTGGTGGGAAAGCTGTGAAATCTGTCCGCCCCTGACTGCCACACGCGTCTCAGAGGGTCCCCTCTGTGACCCCCACCCGCGTCCTCGCTTTAAGGCTCCGCGACGGTGCTGTCTACCCACCCCACTCTCTGAGCAGAAAAAAAACAACACACCTCTCTCAACCCTCTTCTCCAGCCCTCCTGGCGATTGGTGAATTCCCACCAAAATAAATCGTTCCGGGTAATCGGTTTTCATAGCACATTCATTTTATTAAAGAGGGCTGTTCGGGGCTCGCTAATTGCAGGGGGATCCCACTGAGTTGCACGTTTTTTTAAAAAAGAAAAAAAAATGCGCGCGGGATTCCTGGGGCCGGGGCCACAAAATACACTGAGGGAAGCCGGGAGGGGCCTGCGTAAACCAAGCCCCGACAGAAGTAGCCTCAAGGCCGCAGAGAAAGGCCAGCCTGCAGCTTCGCCTCCGAGCGAGCCGCAACGCCAGGAGGGAGAGCTTTAAAGATGCGGGTGCCTTCCAAATACATCCTCGCCCTGGGCAACGGCAAACAAAAAAATCAAGCACCGGCCGTTTCCGTTCCCTGCCTGCCACCCCTCATCCCTGTGAAATAGACACCAGGGAGAAGCAGGCGCCACCCGAGTGTAGGGACCGAGAGAATGGACGCGGCAGAAACCAGGAGGCTCTTTGCAAGGGCGCAAAGAGCCTGGATGCAGAGGCGCTTTGATGGGGGGACGGCTAAGGTGGGGGCGATGGAGCAAAGGAGAGGAGCTGGCGCAGGGGGCCGGGTGCGCCAGGCCGGCTTTATCTGCCGCGGGCCAGCCCTGCCCGCCAGGCGATGAATTACAGCCCGGCTCTTGGCTGTGGGGCCGCGCGCACCAGGGCTGGGGACCCAGGCGCCTCGGCGAGATAACAGACTCGGTCCTCGCGCCTGTCAGGAACGGGAACTGCGAAAAGGCCCCGGCCAGGATACACACAGAGGCAGGGTACCTCTCCCCCGGGGCGGGCACAGCATGCCGCAAAGACAGACAGACGCACATCGGGTTTCTTTTCTGCAGCTCCGTGGCCCCGCAGATCGGTGCCAGAAGTCCTGTGAGGAAAGTCTCCGTATGGAGCGGGTCCTGAATCCCCTTTCCTCGGGCCGACTAACTCTCTCGCCGTTAGCGCGTCGGGGAGGCTACCGCGGCGCGCGGGGTCAAAGCAGCCCCCGGCCAGCGCACACCCGAACAGCGAGTTGCCGGGCTTTCGGAACCGGCTCCGGCCTATGCAGGGCGGGCGGCAGGCCCCGGGCCGGCGGGCGCAGGCCGTTGGCTCCCTGGAGGCGGGGGCGCGACTTCAAGGGCCCGAGCGCCGGCTGCAGCCTTTGATCGGGCCGCCGCTGGCGCCTAAAAACATCCTCGTCTGCCTATTAGGCGCGCTGAGGAATCGTGACAGATTGTTTATCCCCGCAATTAGCGATGCGGTCTTTCTCCGGACCCTGGGCCCCCAGCCCGCAGCCAGGCCTAGCTTCGCCGCCGCCTGGGAAGGCTCTGGGCTCCTCTCGGAGGAACCCCCATTCAGCTTGTGGGGTTCGAGCCCTAAGCGCCGCCCCAAAATCAGAGGGAGAGGGAACGACATTTGTGAGGCCCCTTGAGATTTATCCGCAAGACAGTTTGCATCTTGTTTGCGGGTGTGAGTTTTTCTGGGCAGAAAGTTACTAGCTGGCTTAAATCCTTCAAGTGATGGGGACAAGTTTTTCAGAAGCCATGGCTCTCCAAAGTGGCTTCGGGCAGCTGCGGGCCAAACATGCCTTCCTGGGCCTGCAGGGAGGACTCTTAGCGAGAGAACTCGGCCTACTCTCTCCAGTAGACGGAGATCTTGTCTGGTAACGACGAGCTTAATTAGAAAATGCAATACCAGTTCGTGTTGCAGTCAGGCCACTAGCCTGGTTTAGGCTTTACAGACTCCAGGCAGCCTCAGTACACTCAGCTCTAAAATGGGTTTGTACTGCCTTCTAGCCACGTATGCCCGGGCAGTTCTCAGGGCGCAAGAAAGCCTCTGTATTTGTCCACAGGGCGAGGTGCCACGTCTGTGCACGCCGCCCCGGACAGCCGGGGACCCACACCAACTAGGCCCCACGCCTCAGCCGCCCCCCGCTTCTGCTCCTGTTCTGGGTCCCCAGGAACCGTGGAGAGGCCGTGGACAGCTCGCGCGCCCCAGCCGGCCCGGCTCTCTCTTATCTCCTCGGCCTGCGGACAGATGTGAGGCTCGATCCGAGCGGCCACCGCAGCGCGACCCCTCCTGCCAGACCCCGGACGCCGGCCGGGCAATAAAACTCTCGCTCTAGTAATTCATTTTCCTTAATCTGGTCGCCCCTAATCTTCAGTTTTTATTGCGCCTAGTTAAAAGACGAGGGAATTCGCTGTCCCTCCGCGCTCGGATAATTACCCCTAAATGGCCGCGGCAGCCCCTGTGTTTCCTGGAGATTAAAACCCGGAGCCATCAATGGCCGGGCCGGTGAGTCTCCAATCACTGCGCTCGCTCCCCGGGAGCCGCGGGCCTGGACCAGGGGATAAAGACCACAAAGAGGCGGCGCCGCGAAGGGCCAAGCCTCGGCCTCCTCCGCGCAGACCCCGCGGCCGCCTTCCTACCCTCCGCTCAATTCTTTCTCGATTTTTTTCTTCCTTAGCAGTAAAAGTTAAATCACGTTTCCTCCGAAATTGACAAAGTAAAAGTTAGCAAACTCCGCAGAGACTGCCAGAAATCATAGTACCCTTTGCGCCCGTGCCCTGCCGCAGGAGGGTGTCCCCTCCCCCAGGTGGGTGTCCCCTCCCAGAAGCACCCCCCTCCACCAGGATCAGCGACCCAGAGGTAGGGACGTGTTACTATTTCCGAGGACAGGCTGTTTGAGGTCACCTTAAGGCCAGATGGGCGTTTTGTTGGTATTTCTGTTGATTTTGTTTCAATAAGTTCTATATCAAAGAGAAGCTGGCGCCTCCTTTCCCCTCCCCCCTCCTGTCCTGATCCAGGTGCCCTAATCCCCCCCCCCCACAGGAGAAAATGCTGTGAGATCCGAGCACTAGGTCTCACACCACCGGCAAGCGCATCCCGGCAGACTCAACGTTCCAGGAGGGACAAGGCCCACTTTCACTCGGAGGTAAAGTTTTGAAAATTGTAACCGAGGTAGAAAAAGGGACAGCGCGGGGGGGGGGGGGCGGGGAGATCGGAACGTGTCTCTTTCGACTTGAATAAAAAAGAACCATGTGGATTTTTAACGCAGAAAAAGAATAGAGGAGAAAAACAACCTCCAGTCAAGCGATTGGGAAGGGGGGGTGGGGGAAGGGCGCAGAGAGAAACCGACAGGAACCGATCGAAGTGGCTGTTAGCTGTGATTGTAGCTGTGCGCCCGGCCCGGTGCATCCTCAGAATCACAGCGACCACCCCAGGCCCAATAGCATTTCCTCTGTTGACTTGACATGAGATTGCCAGGTCTTTCTTCCGCAGGGCGTCTGGTGGAAGTTGTGGAGGGGAGAAATAAAAAAGGGGGAAGGATAAAAAGATAAGGGGGAATGGGAGAATGAGAACTAGGGAGAGCTCCCCTCTGCAGCCCCAAGGACGTAGGAAAACGAGACCCTGGGGTCCCAAGTTAAGTAACCCGGGTTGCAGCTGGGTGGGAAGTTTGCTGGGTACCCCCTCCCCTCCTCCGGCCGCCCCTCACCCTCTCCGCCCTGCCAGGCCCAGAGCGGCCCATGCGCCCCCCGAGCCAGGCCCAGACGCACTGCCCAATGGCGGGCTCCGGGTCCGCCCCTGAGCGCGCTGATTGGCCGCTGCCGCACTGGCCTGGCCTTATTAGCAAGTTCTCTGGGGAGCGGCGGCCGGACCGAGCGAGTGCGCCCCAGAGCTCGGCCTGTGTGGCGGCGGAGCCTGGCCCCGCGGCGCGAGCTGGCCTTCGGGGGAGGGGCGGCAGGCGCGCGCCGGAGGGCCCGCCGGGAGCCCATGCCCGGCGGCTGGGCCGAGCTGCGGGTGCAGGGGGGCCCGGCTCTGCATGGCCCCGGCTGCTGACATGACTTCGGTGCCACTCGGTGTCAAAGTGGAGGACTCGGCCTTCGGTCCGCCGGCCGGAGCAGGCGGGGGCCCGGCGCCCAGCGCCGCCATGGGCGCCGACGAGGAGGGCGCCAAGCCCAAAGCGTCCCCTTCATTGCTGCCCTTCAGCGTGGAGGCCCTCATGGCCGACCACAGGAAGCCGGGGGCCAAGGAGGGTGCCCTGACCGGGCCCGAGGGCGCGCCGGCAGCGGGGGGCTCAGCGCAGCCCCTGGGCGCCCGCGCGGGGTCCTTGGGCGCCCCGGACGCGCCCACCTCGCCGCGGCCCCTCGTCCCCTTCTCCGTGGGAGGACTCCTCAAGCTGCCCGAGGAGACGCTGGTCAAAGCCGAGAGCCCCGAGAAGCCGGAGAGGACCCCGTGGATGCAGAGCGCTCGCTTCTCCCCGCCCCCGGCCAGTGAGTAGCCAGCCCCAGGCAGCCAGGCGGGTGCGGGGGCCCTGGGAGCCAGGCCGCGTTGGCGCCTGACTGTCGCCGCGGTCTGTGGACCCGCAGCTGCGCGAGAACCTGGGTCCGGGCCGTGGACCTGGGGCGGAAGGCTGGGTGTGGGCTTTTCCCCTCTCCCACCCAGGAAGGGAGCCAAGGACTGGAGGAGGCCAATTTGGTGGTCCCGCTTGGCTAAGATATCATGCATGGGCTCAGATTGTAGGACCCAGCGTCTGGCAGCCTCTTCCTGCCCCCACCAAACGACCCCCCTCCCCGCTCCTCATCTGACCGCAAAGCCTATAACGTCGCCTTTACCCAAACCCTTGGGTCCCAGGAGCGCTCACTGTCCCTTGGAGCGCGAAGTTTCGCTTTCTAGAAGTCTGACGCTCCCCAACCCGGGTGTAAAGTATTTCTTTGCCAAAAAGTCTGGGCTTTTGCGAACCATCACTCCCTTATCGCTTCCCAAGTTTCGGGGGAGATATGTGGTGTCGAGGTGAATGGATGAATTGGGGAACCCTTAGCTTCCAGTGGGGACACCAAGTCAGTTCGGGACGCGCCCTTCCAGTCCCGCCCAGAGTTTCCCCAAACATTTGAGACGGGCTGTGAGAGGGGACTCCCGCCGACCTCAGCGCGTCCGGGGGTCGTTCGGAGGCCGTGTGTCCCGGTCCTCAGCTCGGAGGCCCAGCGAGCTCGCTCCAGATATTTCGGGAGCACGGGAAATTCCCTCGCTTCCTCCGATTATTTTACGAGGCATAATAGCAGCCCGAATTCAATGGCGCGGTGCTGAGGCATGATTTTTATCTGGGGATTAAACTTCTTTGAAAGGCCAGCTCCTCCCTGGGCCTAATGGCCCGAGAAGGTGGCCCAGCGCTGAGCTGCCGCCACTGAGGGAGTGAGTGACGCTGGCCCTGGGCGCCCGCCCCTTGGTGAACCCGGCGGAAAATGAGGAGTCGGGGGCCAAGTACTTCCCGGATGAGAAGGAAGGGGGACGTGTCCCCCGAGATTTCTTTTGACTCACATCCGGGTGGCCTAGAGGATAGTATTTTGTTTTTGTTGTTTTAAGTGCAAGAAATAAAAGTACAGAGATAGGCAAAACAGAACCCGCTCGGCGAGATGTTAATTCATTTTCTTCGAGGGCCGCAGTCCTGCTAAGGGAAAGCAACCATTTCCTTCCCGAACGTGGAAATTCGCGTAGGGCCTCCATTGGAGTTTCAAAGTCGGTACCTTCAGGGCGGACTTGGGACTAAGTTTTTACCTTCTGTCTGCAGCTACCTGGCTGCTGGGGCGAAGCGCCCAACTCGCTAGTCCCAGGCCCACCGGCACTCTCCGCCTGGGCCTCCTTTGCAATTCGCCGGCCAGGAGGTCGATGTTGAAATCGAGAGGAACAAGAGGCCTGGGCGCAGTTGGTCTCTGTGGTGAGGCTACAAGTCCAGAAGCCGCTAAGTCTCTCTCTCTCTCTCTCTCTCTCTCTCTCTCTCTCTCTCACACACACACACACACACACACTCCATGTTTGTGTGTCAGAAGCTGTGGCGCTGGGGTTGCGAGAGGCCCAGGCAACAATGTGACATTGAAGGGAAGAAACCCCACTAAAATAAAGTCTCTGTCCCCAGAGCTGTCCCAGGGACACTTTAAGTACCTGAGAGCCTTGAGAATGGAGCAAAGAAAACTCATGACAGTTGGTGTCCCCTCGTTTCCAGCACTAGGTTGGAGCTGGAGTCAGGGACTTTGAATCAGCTTGCACGGAGCGGCTAACGCCGCTCTGAGCACTTGCACACACCCCACCACCACCACGTTTAGCAAATGCTCACAATCAAATGGTCCTGGTCCTGGCCTTTGGGCCTCTCCCCCCCACTTCCCTTTTCCTTGTTGAAGTCTCTGTTGCTCTGCGCTTGGAGGCCTAGTCGGGAAAGACCATCCTGAAGAGCGCTCTAGCCTTGAACACGGGTTTCCTGTCACCTGGCATTTTCACTTTCTTCATTTGCAGTAAAGTAGGCACCCTTCCCACAGAGGTGTGGGGTGGGGGAGGACCGGGGTTTGTGTCTCTCAGCGCCTGCATGGTGCCTAGAATCAAGCAGTATTTTCAACTGCTTTGTGGACAGGCCATGCGCGCTCTTAAGCCCCTGCCTTTTTTCTCCCTTAGGGAGGCTGAGCCCCCCAGCCTGCACCCTGCGCAAACACAAGACCAACCGCAAGCCGCGGACGCCTTTCACCACCGCGCAACTGCTGGCGCTGGAGCGCAAGTTCCGCCAGAAGCAGTACCTGTCCATTGCCGAGCGCGCCGAGTTCTCCAGCTCCCTCAGCCTCACCGAGACGCAGGTGAAGATCTGGTTCCAGAATCGCCGCGCCAAGGCCAAGAGACTGCAGGAGGCCGAGCTGGAGAAGCTGAAGATGGCCGCCAAGCCCATGCTCCCGCCCGCTGCCTTCGGCCTCTCCTTCCCGCTCGGCGGCCCTGCGGCCGTGGCGGCTGCGGCTGGTGCGTCGCTCTACGGCGCCTCCGGCCCGTTCCAGCGCGCCGCGTTGCCGGTGGCGCCCGTGGGACTCTACACAGCCCACGTGGGCTACAGCATGTACCACCTGACATAGGGAGCCCCCCTCCTTCGCCTTTCTTCGCGTGGCCTGAGAGGACTGCGCGCTCCCTTACTCCGCACCTCCTCTCCACTTCCCTTGAACCCCCGCACTGTTCTGGTTTCTCCTCGGTTCCTCCCGCGTTTCTGCATCCGAGGTCAGTTTCAACCCCCTTCAAAATGACTGGAAGGGTCTCAGACGCTCTTCCAGAATCTAGATTTACACCCTAGAATAAGGAAGGGGGACACCCTAGGCTGATCCAAGACTCCCGGCAGAATGGGTACTTGAACCAGGAAGAGAGGCTGTCCCCTGTATGGGCCACGCACTACAAGGGCGCATAATGTCAAGCTTGACCGTCTTGGAAATGCGGACAGATGGAGAGAGTGAACGAGCCAGGACGTGTGCTAGGAATGGTAGACCTCAACTCCTTTCATGAGAAATGTTGAGAGAACTTTCACAGCAAAGCATGTGCTGGGTGGGAGACACACAGGCGCATTACCAAGGCAGGTTGAAGGGGCCTCTGTCACCAATACTAGGAAAAAGTAAAAATGAAAAGAAAAAAAAATCCTGTTTCTATTTAACAGTACATTTTGTGTGGCTCTCCAGAATCCCTTTGGAAGGGAGTGTGTACTATGTAATATACTGTATATTTGAAATTTTATTATCATTTATATTATAGCTATATTTGTTAAATAAATTAATTTGACGCTACAAGGAACGATCTCTTCGCTGGACTCGGGGTTTGGTTTGATTTCCCTTCTTGTCATCTTTTCCCTTACACGTGGACAATAGCTTGGGCCAGCCTCGTCCTGAAGATGCCATCACTATCCTGAGGCTCAGGGAGCACACGGGCCAGCTCTACCTTAGAGAAGTCAAGTGGAGCATTGAAGCAATTACCCAGTGTAATTAGGCTCAATTTTCCAATTCACTTTAAGCTGAAATAGACACTTACCCATAACCGACTCTCCCCCCCGCCCCCCATCTCCTTTTAACCTGTCTTGGAAACAAAGTCCATCACCCAAATGGTTTAATGACAGGGGACAGCTAATGGAGACAACCCCCAACCCCCAACATGATTTCCCACCAGAGGCCGAATGGGGGCGGAGGCGCGCTCTCTCTGTTTCTTTAAATCACCAACTGCGGGGTTCTGTAGACCAGGTTTGTGGAACCAATTTTGAACAGTCGAAAGTGTGAGCGCCTTCGCACCTTCTAGTGAGAACGTTTCAAGAAACCACGCCGGACAAAACCCTTCAACTTTTACGGGGTACCCAAAGCCCCTCGGCCGCAGTGTGCGCTGCGCGTGGGTGCCCGGTTCCAAACGCCCATGGGTGTGGTAATTTGCACCAGAAGGTCAAGGTCAGGCTTCCAGGAGAATGTATTCCAGCACAGACATTTGGGGAGTGGTGTGTTAATTGAAGGCAGGAAATGACCTCTTAGGACAGACTGCTAACGATGTGCCAGGAACCACTTTCTTTCAGGTTAGCGCGCAGCTTTCGGGCCCCTCTCGCCAGCTGCTGGGCCGCGCGTGCCTCCCTAGTCCACGCGGGACCACGCCACGCGGTCTTGGAGCAAATTAGCTTAAAGCGGAGATGCTAGAAGGCCAAAGGGTCTTGGATGCCAAGTGGATGTGCTGCTGAACTTGGGGAGGCAGGGAACTATAGCGCAGTGGGGAGAAATCGAGGCTGAGGCGCAGCGCCCAGGGAACTCATTGGAGATGTCCTGGCCCTGAGAGTCCAGGACGAGCCTACGGATTCCGGGCCAGGTGTGCGCTGCGCTAAATGCGGGGTCCCTGCGCCGTGGCGGGTGCCCCGGGCCTCGAGTCAGGCAGGCGCGCCTGAGACGCAGGATCCAACCGTCACCCTAGGCCCAAGCCCCAGGCCGCCGGCTTCTCAAGCAAAGAGAAGACAGCAAACCGTGCAGTCCCACTGCGGCCTCGGGCCACCCAGGGCGGTCTCAGACTGTGGCCCTTGGCCTGGGAGCTTCCCTTTCCAATAGTTTCAGTCTGAGGGTCCCCAAAGATGCTGCACCTAAAAAGGCCCCCTACTCATGCCTTCTCGGCCCTTTTACAAGGACAGGGTGCCATGTGGGTCTTGCTGTTTCTTAGTTCGCCCTTTTAATCTTTCTCTACAAATTAAGCGACCAGCAAGTGACCTCACAAAGACTCCCAGCTCCCCCAAACTTCTCAGACTCCCGTCGACAACACCCCTGGGATTCTCTTGCCCTGGGGAATTGGGCTGAAGGTGTGAGCGCCATTGGACTCAAGTCAAACGACTTCGCTCTACCTCTCCCACTGACTGACTCCGGGTGGAGAAGGCACAAGGCACGTTTCCTCAGTTTTCTCATCTGCGAAATGGGCCAAGGACTCTCGTCTTCCACAGGCTCTTGAGGAAGCGAGGCCCGGTATGAGAGGACACCAGGGCAGCGGCGTTTTCTCGCTTCCTCGCGTCCGCATCGCTGGAGCGGGAATGGCGGCGTGGGATCGGGTGTCTCTCTCAGCCACGGTTCCAAGCCTCTTGGCTCCTGGGCACTTGGCAATTTAGGGTCGAGGCAAACCCAGAGCAACATAATTGCGGTAATGAGCACCGGCTCGCGCGCTGTAGACGCGCGCTGGCTCCAGCGAGGCGGTAGCTGCAGGCGAGGCGGGCGCGCCTCCCCCCACCCCACCTCCCGCGTCTCCGCAGCCTGGGACCCCCGCCCGCCTCCGCCCCTGGCTGCGCGCCTGCGTCCCAATTTCCTTCCTCTTTTACCCGCTTGCGTTTCTTGTCGTCTAGCCCTTTCTCGTATGCCCACCGCCCGTTGCTTGCTAATCCCTCCACTAGGCCGCGCGCACACAGGCGGTGCTCAATAAATGTACGATGTACAGGCGATCAGAGTGGCGCGCGGGGGGTGGGGGGAGGCAGCCAGGCCCTTCCTGCATACTAGCTGAGCCTGACTCGTTCGCGCCCATCCGAATCTCTGAACTCAGCGGCTTGGGTCCGGGAGGTCCCCGCCCTGAACTATTACCATCAATTTCTTTGTGCGGCAAAAAATGTAGGGTTGATCCCCGCGCTGGGGAGCGGCTGTGACCGGCTGGAAGCTACACTTAGGCCGACTTGCGTGCGGAGCTTTCTAGAAGGCTCTGTCCCCTCTGCGCCCACTGACAACGCAGGAGGTTTGTACTGAGGAGAGGATGGGGCGCAGAGATGCTCGTTTTTTTTTCCCAGGCAACACAGCCAAGGAGGCTGGCTGATCGGGAGTTCCAACACCACATGCCTTCCCCACATCCCCTCCTTTATGGGTCACCTGGCGAGGACAGTGAGCGCGTGTGCCCCCAGTGGCCCGACACTGAACACCTCCTTCGCGGCGCCCTGCTCTGAACAGGCGCCCACCTGCCGGGCGTTTCCGTTCTGTTGAGTGGACCACGTGGGCAAGGCCAAAGTGGTGTGCGGACGCGGACGCGGGCCCGGGGCGCGCAGCCCCGTCGGGAGGAAGAGCCCAGGGCCGTGTGCGGAGGTCTGCGGAGGGCCGGCGGGGTTGGGAGCTCTGCTGGGGCTGGAGCGCAAGGTCTGCCGAGCTGGCGCTTAGAGCCCCTATCTCTGGAGGCCTAGCCTGAAGGCCCAGGTGGCTCATGCGCTCCGATGAAGACAACTACCCGCCGCTGCGGGCCGCAGGTACGGTTCCTGTGGCTGCAGGGCCCAACCCGTCCAACGGAGAAAGAGCATCATTTCTTTACGGACCCCCAGGGGAGCCCGGCCGGCCAGCCTGCATCCCCCGGGGGCACAGTGGGAAATGGCGAGGAAGAGATGAGGCCGCCTTTCAACAGGTCGGCTGGCGCCGGCTTGGCCAAACCCCCTGGCTGCGCGGCCTCCCTGATTCCATCCCCGCCCGCCAAGCCCTGCGCTTGTCTGCGAGGCCAGGACATTTCCCAGAGCAGGACGCCTGGGCCCCCGGAGCACCTGACCACCCCATCCCCCCGCCCTCCCCTTCTCCCTGGATTATGCCACAGGCGGCTTCTCCACAAGCCTCCTTCACACGGCGGGCCTGCCCCCTCCACAGCGCCCTCCCGCGGACCCGCGCGCGCACACACAACCCCTGCGCGTTCGCGTCGGAGCGCAATGCTTCACCAGGTCCCTTCCAGGCACCAGAACACACCCAGGGCACACACAGCACCGATCCAAACCCCCTCATACACTCGACACACAGGCACGGACACACACGGGAACATGTCACAGGCAACACACAGAGACTCCTGGGGCACACTTATCCAACAGCACACACCACACACAAATGGGAACGGCACACACTGCCTTGCCACAAACACAGTCAACACCCCCAAACATATCCAAGCCGCGCACCCCACACACCTCACCACACCGCACACAACCCACACACTACACATCTTGTACACGCAAAACCAGCACGTACACAGCCCAACATCACAAGCAACACACGCACATCCCAACAGAGCCTTATTTAAAGATGTGAAGAAACATGTAAGCCCACCATCCAGTGCCTCTGCAGGAATTTCTTCATGCTAGGAAAGGTGGAGGGTCGGTGAAAGAGAGGAGATGGACTGAATAGGTCACTACCACGATGGGCTTGAACCTGACCGCGATGGTGAGGCAGGGCTGGGGTCTTCGCCAGGGGTCAGATCTGTCGTTCATGCGGCCACTGTGAGACTCTTTTCTTTTCTTTTCTTTCTTTCTTTTTTTGGTATGTGTGTGTGTGTGTGTGTGTGTGTGTGATTAATTCACTGTTGCATTTTTCTCCCCTACCAACCCTTCCCCCTAACACTACCCTCTTGGAAAGTAAAAGAAAAATTCTTTCATTGTTTTACAATCCCTCCCCCCAAGTCCACTCCACTATGCAGCCTTTGCTCTGGACTCTGTCATGACAGAAATACCTAATCACATATCCCTTTTAAACAGCTTTCTCCCTCATCTGTTTCAATGTAGTATACATTACTGAGCCCATCTTTCTCAGTCTCCCCCCAACCCCAAGGTCAGTCCTGTTTTACAACAGTGGCACCATGCAGTATT